CACGCTATCAACTATCAGCGCGCAAACGCCTCTCATCGAAAACTGTTCGATGTGATAAGATCTAAAAGTGTTGCAGTCAATCTGTACCAACTTCGTTATCGGCACGTGAAAGAGCCGGTTGATCGTGTTTGGGCGATTGCAGGGCTTTTGGAGAGTAATCCTCGACATAGTTTGACCTCGGAGGTTGACTACAGTGAACAAGGTCGAGTCGAATACTGGAAGACCTGGATCGTGTTCGCCAAGGCTCTAATAAACGAACCTGGTGGAATTTCTCTGTTGGCCGTTCCACCTACCCTGGAACCCAGACCTTCATACTTGCCATCATGGTGCCCGAATCTTTCTGGAACAAATTCTTGCAGAATGATGATCGCTGGGCGATGGAATCTTGCGACAGTTGAATTGCCTGCGTACGCTCGGTGGAGTTTGTTTGAAGAAAACAGCGAAGCGAAATGCGACGAAAGAACAGACGCGATCTATTATCATGATAAAGGGTTCGTGAGTACCGTAAAACATGATAATCTACTACGGATGCGGGGGTTTGTATTGGATACTATTGAAGAGGTCGTAGAACACGAGGAAATCCTTGATATGGGATACAGTCACTATGATGAAGATACTGAAGAGTACATGGCCTTGTATGATCTTGCTGTTGGCCACCACATGGATTGCTTAGATCTAGCTCGTCGTGTCTTTTATGGGAAGAGCGACGGCGTTACAGATGTACCAGAGGATTTCATCATGGCGCTCTTTATGGACTGCCGAACCACCGACAGAGCGAAGGATTTATACCATGAGATAATGCCTAAGCTGGCCACTTGGTACTCCAAACCCGGCTTTCGTGCTGCTCGGGAGCAGTTGCTGTGTCAGCATCAGTTGACAGAGTTACGCGGACATACCTTTTTCAGCACAATAGGGGGTCGCATTGGATACGCCCACCCCGGATGCAAACCAGGAGATCAAGTCGCTACCTTCTACGGAGGACTACCACTATACATCCTTCGGCAGTTGATCCCAACGAAAGACGCCATCGGCTCGACTGGACAAGCATACGGTCACGTTCAGTACATGGGCGCTGCATTCATCCCTCATCTCATGGAGCAACATCAAAGAGATGCTGCGCGCATGGGACCTGCCATCATTTTCATCATCCACTGAGAAGCTGGGATCACCAGAACATGCGAGGAAAGGAGGAGAGATCGTCCTACAAATATGAGTTTCCATCATTTTCAGATGAAGAGCGGGACAGCTCTCACTAGCTGTCATTTCATACTAGTACCAGGCGAATCAATAAATTGTTCAAGGAGAACCAATATTCCATATTCTTGCGGAGAAGATCGCACCCATAAGATGCTTCACTCACAGACAAGACTAAAGCAGCATAACCATGGTATATCCATTCAACATAACCCACCTACAGCTTCCTACTCCTAACAAGCCCAGACTTAATACCCGTAAGCTCACCCCCATAGTTCGCGCTGCCCTTAGCCGCAGCCCCCTTATCAAACACCTGCTTCATACTCTTGAGCTTCTTCTGCTTCTCCTTGTACTTCTCCTTCTTCTTGACACGCGGGTTCCGCACGCTCTTTTTGCGGTGGGGCGTCAATCTATTCATCACGTTAGCATTTGTGCCAGAAAAGTCGGGGAAGTGGGAAAGAGAGGAGATGGAAGAAAACATACCCCTTATTCTTCTGAATCTGGTAAGAAATCATACGACGACCATCATCGCCAACGACTTCCTCTTCAATAACCTGAGCACCTTGCTTCTTAGCGAGGGCGTAGGCTTCTGCGCGTTCAAGCTTAGTCTGCTTCTTATCCTCTGAGCGGGCGGCAATCATGTCGTAGTAACCATCCTCATCTTCAAAGTCGTCGCGCTTAGTCGCTGGCGCCTCATCAGCAGAGGACGCGCCATCGTCTTCGCCCAGCGCAACACCAGGACCAGCATCCTTGTGTTGGCCGCGCTTCTCGGCTTCGGCTTGTAGACGCGCTTGTCTGTCCTTGAGGCGTTCGCGGTGCGGAATATCGGCATCGCCGCCCATGTCTTTGCCGGCGGCATCGCGCTTGTTTGCCTTTTGGGCGATTTGCGAGGTGTAGAAGCGGAGGGATTTCTTCTTCTTGGCTTTTTCGGCGGCTTCGTGGGCGGTGAGTTCGGTTTCTTCGCCAAAGTCCGAGTCGTCTGCGTTGAGGAGGTTGAGCTTGGGTTCTGCGGTCTTCTTCTTGCGCGATGCCTTCTTGAGGGCGGCCTTGTCGGCGAGGGTGTCGAGTGATGCGAGGTCTTGTTCCGTCTTGGCGAGCTTCGCGGCGCGTCGTGCTGCTGCTTCTGTTTGCGCCAGTTCTGCTGCTCGTTCGGCTCTGGTCTTCTTCTGCTTTGTGGGTTTCTTGACGGTCAAGTCGTTCTCGAGTTCCTCCGCGCTCACGTCCTCCATAGCTGAGTCGTCGTCGTCACCGGTCTCTACCATGGGATCCGCGATAGGCAGGTTTTCTATCCGCGTCCATACCTTCTGGCACTTCAGCAAGGTCTCCATAACAGGGTGTTCGTGTAGCTCAGCAGGATCCATTGCGATGACCGGCGACCCATCGTCCGTTGCAGTGGAGCCGAGTACAGCAAAGTACATGGCCATCGCTGCGAGATATGCGGCGCATGCCCGGTATTTCGTGACAGCCTTCGGTGTTGGTGGAATTCTGTCTGGCTTTCCTGACTTCGCCATTTGTGCCTTCAGCACCTTCTCGGCGGCCTTCGCGGCGGCGGCCAATTCCTCGTGCAGCGGTTGCAGTCTCAGATATTCTTTCGAAATGTGCTCGAACTCGGGGTATCGTGTACGCATGATCTTCATCCTCTCTTCCTCGGTCATGTTGTCCGTAATTTGAAGTTGCGGCAGGACCTCCGTCACGACAGCGCCACCTTCTGCGTCCTTCTCACCCTCGTGCGCCATCCACTCGTCCTCGTCGAAGCCAAAGTCCGCCTCTGTCATGCTTTGTAGCTGCTTCTTTTGTATGCGCCTCGCTTCAGCTTCCTCATCCAACGCATCTTGCTCCGTTTCTATCGCATCGGCGTTGTAGTAATCCTTCTTCGAGGTACCCCATCCACCAACGTCTTCGTCTTCCTCGTCGACTGGTTTGCGCTGTCCCGTGACATCATCTCCAGACTCGTCGCCGGTATCTTGGTCGTCGAAATCGTCTTCATCGTCGTCGTCGCTGCCGGCATCGAGGATTTCTTCGTCTGAGGCTTCTAAGAACTTGTCTAGATCCAGATCAGCTATCGCATTCCAAACAGATAACCCCGCTTAACTGACCCTCTTCCTGATACTTCCTCAGTCTCTTAGCCGCTGGTCCCTCATCCAGCAGTACCTTGTCGCGATTGATATGGAACTCGTCCTCCGAATCCGCGACATCCTCATATGAGTTGACTGCCATCCTGGAATCCTCCTCTTTCAGCGCTTTTGGCGCGCGCGACCCGCCACTACCAGCCTTTCTCTTTTTGGCCATGATTGCGATATGTGTTGTGTGTTGTGGCGTGGCGTAAGTGGTGGTCGCAAATGTCGCGCGGGAACTTTTTTTCGGTAAGAAGTCTTGGCTTTACCGCGGAGGTCGGAAAGTCTCCACTAGTGGAGCGGAGCTAAGCTGCAGGGCGTGTGCGTATGTAAGCACGCCGCATGTGAATTCGATACTGACACGCGATTTCACCGTACACCAATTGAGCATTGCGGTACCAATTCGTCCGCGTAAGCAGAGTCAGATATCAGGCGTCCGATATTCCCTTTTGCTAGAGATTGAGAGTGCCGTTTCCCATGTCTCAATTGCTTCTCGGAGCAACCATCATCCTCTTGGTGCTTGTTGGAATTATTAGTGCGGACATCATGGGTTTCGCATTCTGGAAGGGCAACCAATTCCCAGTGGAGGGAAGAGTGAGTATTGTGTTGAACCCTCTAACATGAACCTATACTAACGGTGCATATAGACGGTTCTGCTTACAGGCTCATCCCAAGGAATGGGCTGCGAAATCGCCCGTCTCCTCTCCGCGCGCGGCGCAAACCTCATCCTCGTCGCACGTACCGCGAAGAACCTCGAAACCGCCCTGGCCCACGCGAAAGCCCATGCCAAGAACCCCTCGACCCAACGCTTCACCTACATCGCCGCCGACGTAACATCTGAGTCTGAGAACACGCGCATTTTGAAGGAAGCCACAGCATGGAACAACGGACGCGTGCCGGAGATAGTGTGGTGTGTCGCAGGGTCTTCAGTACCAGGCCTTTTCATCGAGACGAGCACTGAGACGCTGAGGAGACAGATGGAGCTCAACTACTTCGCGTCAGCATACATGGCACACAAGACACTCCAGGCGTGGTTTTACCCCGAAGTACCGTACAAGCCGCAAGAAAAGGGTGCTGCTCCAGAACTACCTCGCAAGTTCATCATGACGTCCTCCGCGCTTGCCTTCATGAACCTCGCAGGCTACTCCGCCTACTCCCCCGCCAAAGCCGCGATCCGATCCCTCGCCGACGGCCTACGCTCCGAAGTCCAGCTTTACAACGCGGCGCGTCGCTCCAAGGCAAACAACACTGGTGTTGTACCTGCACCCTTCGACGTCGATATCCACGTTGTCTTCCCAGGCAGCATACTATCCCCCGGTTTCGAGAACGAGAACAAGACCAAGCACCCCGTGAGCTTCGAGCTAGAGTCTTCCGACCCAAAGCAGACTGAACTGGAAGCTGCGACGGCGGCGGTCAAGGGACTGGAAGGTGGCGATTTCATGACTCCTACAAATTGGCTGGTGCATCTGATGCGGTATGGCTCCATGTCGGGTAGTCAGAGGAACAACGTGGTTCTCGATACTATCGGAGCGTGGATTGCGACAATTATCTGGTTGGTCATGGTGCCGGATCTGAATGGCAAGGTCTGGGCTTGGGGCAAGAAGAACGGTATGAGCGTGTTCAGGCCGAATGCGCAGTAGATGAGGGTTTGTATTGTGAATGGCATAGGCGTATACCCCAGGTGACATTATACTATCCAATTGAAATGTTAGATTCGCGATCAGCCAAGAACCCCCAGGACTCTCCAGAAGTGGAATCCATCCAATCCGCTCGTGGAATGATGTCTGGCATGTTGTACCCAGGCTGATAAGATCGCAGTACATGTGCCGGTACCTTTTCAACGATAGCATACTCGCCCTTGACAAAGCATTGCCATGGATATGGAGTCTTGAACTCTAGTGCGTGTGCATAGCCAGGTTCAACATCTTCTATATCCTCGAGATCTACCGGGACGCCAGTGACCAGAACGTCTAAGCTAGGACACCAACCACGCGCATCGAGGTATTGGAAGAAATTGCTGGCAAATACCTCTGGTTGGAGTTCGTACTCTTCCCCGTATGTGTCGCGATGGAAGATGTCGGGATAGTATGTGAATAGAATTGAGCGCAATTGCGTCATCTGCTCGAAACAGTTCTATGATCGTCAGTCATATTGCTCCAGTGCGTGAAAGAACCCTGCTTGCCAGAAACTCTGCATACTCCTCATCTTCGTCTTCTTCATCTTCGTCATCTTCCCCTTCCCATATGGAAGCTTCCATGACATCCTTCGATATTGGTAAGCGAAGATGTTCCACGTTCTGGCATATCGAAAGTAGGCGCGATAATTGATCGTCCCAATCGCCGAAAGGAAACGTAGTGTATCGATTCTGGACGCCGAGACTCTTCAATCCAGGGCCCCTGCGCTCGATCATGCGCCAGAATTTGTCTAGATTGTCCTCCTGATGATCCCAGACGAGATGCAGACTAGTAAGGTTTTCGCAGCAGTAAAGCAAATCTGAGATGGAATCCCTGCCATCAATGGCAACATACACATGCTCCAAAGCAGGGGTTCTGCCGTTGAGGCTAGACACAAACTTGTCGTAAACAGTGGCGTTCTCACAATTGAACAACGCAAGAGTTTTGACGTCACTGAAATCGATGGTGGCTGCCAAGCAGCACCAAATCTCGTCAAACTCGACGTTGTATAACTTCAGGTGGGGCAACTTCAAGAGTCTGCTTTCTGAGTCGGCGGATTCGTGTACATTGTGGTCGTGTCCCTCACCGTCGGCCCGAAAGTTTGTGAGATCTATACTCACCCGCTCGAGGCAACGGATCTGTAGATGTCGCAGTTCTCGTTGACTACACTTGAGCAGATGAAAGATGTCTTTTCGGAGACTTCGGCCCATGGCAATGAATCTAAGTTTGCCTAGTGATCAGTCTCTATAGTAACTTATGGTGAGATGAACTAACCTGAAGGCATGAAGCTGGTTCTTTGGAAGCATGGAGATCAAAAGATGCATCAGCACGTCTCTTGCATCAGCCGCACTAGCCAGGTGCTCATGGTTCGGCGGTGGTGCATCATCCGCTGGGTCACGTAACTCATCTTCGAAAGATAAGCTCCTGATGTGACGCAGGTGGTAACTAGCCCCTGCAGCGATGCATTTGAAGAATCTTGTCAGGCCTTCCTCCCTAGTGTGTAAGTAGACAGTATGGTACAGTCGCGGTAAACTGAGGTTGCGCAGGTGTTTCGACGTCAGACAAAGAGATTTAAGGTCGCGTTTCGTATGGATGTATCCGAGTATGAGTAGCTGGACCTCGTTCGAAAGAGACTGCATGACGCGTTGAGATACCTAGGTAGTGTGGAGGAGAGAGATTTTGCGGGAAGTCGCGAATGTGGACGCGACGCGCTGTTCCACTTTGTTCGCGTTGCCCCGCTGTTTAAGGAAGCCGCCAGGGGTCCCCAGCACGACGTCACGTGAGATAACCGTGCCCCTCATCCGACCACTTCGCACTCCCATTGCGCAACCAATCCTCCATCCCCACTCATCGCAGCATGGACATTCACGCCCTCAATGTCCGCCTGAAAGCCGAGCTTGTCGAAGATGTCAAGCGGACGAGACTGGAATACGTGCGACTTCCGCGTTGAACAGCACAGCGCCAAACAGACATTTGTTGTTAGCTGATCGCATTTCCCAGCTTTCGCTCTACTCGGATCTGAAAGCGCTTTACTTGGTTTCGAAGGACTGGAACAGCATCGCTACGGAGTACCAGTACCGAAAGACCGTGCTACAGAACAGTACATATGCTCGCGATGACCGGCTGTCGAACTGGCTCTTTCCAGGCACTGCCACTGTATTCCGGCGATGCCTTGACATCAGCGCGCGAAAGCACTTGATACACACGCGGAGTCTGAACCTACTAGAGGGTATACGACATGAACCAGGGTCTGGCTCAGCTAACAATCTTGCCTCCGGTAACTACGCTGTCTCTGTCCGTGTGTAAATATCAACCACTACAATACCTGTCCAGCTCATCCAAACTGCGGAATCTTGTTTACTTCAGACTACGGAATAACGACAATTTCGACACCTCTGTGAACGAAGACGGTAAAGCGCTGGTGACACGGAACCAGATCTTCGGCACTTTTGTCACCACATGCGTGAACTCCAAAATGTGTCTTCAGACTCAATAACACAGCGCGCTTTCTAGGAACCGATCGAAAAGCTTAAGAAGCTGAATATGCTGCATCTTTATCAAGGCCGCAACACCAAAGTCCCTATTTTCCTCCTCTCTGCCTGAAGTGGATGCTCGCGACATGCATCACCGACTCGCGACACGGTTTTTTTAATGGACACATACACGATGTCCCTCCTGCAAGATGCTCATAATCGCGCCATATTCGGTGACCTTTCATTATGGGGAGACATATCCTGAGCCGGACGGAGGGAACGCACGTCTAGGATTCTCATACAACATCGTGGAGAATTCAGCGTAACAGTGTTTCTCAAAGAAGGTTGAAGAGCTCGACGATGGGACCTCCCAAATCGAAGCGACAAGACTCACTCGAAGTCGACTTTGAGCGGACTGTCCAGAACTGTATGTATTTGACTACGATACCGCCACTCTGGTAGCAGATCGCGTGACCTAAGAGGTTGTATAGCATGCGATGGTTTTGGCTTGGGCCGGGAAGCGAATGAGCCTGGTTCCGGAACCAGATTTTCGCCTCTCAGGCCCCCAGTCCCATACGTGGAGTTGAGCATCTACCTCGGCGGATGCAGCTATAGAAGATGCACAGGGGCTCCAGCGTTGACCATCACATGGAATTGAGCCAAGTCAGATTTACTAGCGTGGAATGCCCTGAACGAAAACACGGCTCGGATGCGTGTCATGTCCAGTCTCCCGGACCTGCGGACTCATGGGACCGGCGCTACTATCGACGATCACGACGATCATCCAGAGGGCCGTCGTCTCATCACCTTCGTATTGGAACATTAATACGACCGAGACAAATGCCGACATCATGGTATTTTCGAAGCTCCATCCAGGTGCGTGAAAAGATTGATGGACGGCTCAGCAGCACAATCCAATAGCGGTTCTCCGGAAGCGAGCCGCTGGACCCTCGCCCCAGGAAAGTGGAGCTGCAAACCGCGGGGACAGGCGGATGCGGAGACTAAACAGAAGGGAGCTGCTGTCCCGAGGCTAAAATTACGGCATGAAGTCGCCATGCTCCTCGCTCATGCCACCGAAAGGTTAATTCGTACCCACGAGGCATCTCAACCGCGCCGAATCATTCACCTGCACCCGTGGTCAAAGGGTACCCCATTGTTTGACCCCACAAGCGCGACATAGATCCACTGCAGATCAACGTGTTTCCAGATGCATCTACGTTGGACAACATCGCTGAGTGCCGTTGTTGTATGTATGCGCGTAAGCGCGTTGATTGCACGTCTTCAATTGAAGAGCGCCGCAATAAGTTCTGATTCGATTGCAGATTCGATGCTTACCGGGCATAATGCAAGTATTGCCACGCGAGATCTCTTATGCGCAGCTATATTAGTCGAGCGTTTAGATCGTACCGGCTTGGCTAGACGAGGCGCAATACTACATACACGAGCCGCATACCGGACGTGAGCCCGCGATGCAGCGTTTCGCTACGGCAGTTCTGCCAGCCTCGCCAACATCAACAACGTGGCAATCACAAGATTCAGGTTCTTGAGATATCTGGATTGTGGCGAAAAGAATAAGCCATACAAGCACCGTTGTCTTGGCGGGCAGTAGACCAGGGCCCCAAGATTATCCGGGTGAATAGGATCGCCGCAAAGACGCCAACTCATTTGTGTTTCCCAGTGGCCCGGTACCGACGATGTGTTCTAGTGCGAATTAATTACCTCTTGTGGCTCTACTGCCGCTGTTGAGTGCGGCTCGAATTCCCATGTACCCTTGGTCTGGAAGACGATATGCAGACTAGCAGTACTACCTCTTGCGCTCTGCTAGTATTAGGCCAATCTCAGAGCATGAGTGTTTGCTGCAGGGCGTACCGCGTTGCTAATGACAAAGGCTAGAGCTTCCCCGAGAATGTGCGCTAGGCTAGCTAGGGAACTGCGAAGCGTTTGTAGCCATGACTGAGATAAATAGACGGCAAGCCCATGGGTACCTTGTGGACAGTCGATCGACCCTGTATACCCTCCTCCCTTCGTCAATATGGGTCGCTTCTCATTATTCGCTCCGCTCCTGTTGGCGACCAATGGTGTCTTGGGCGCCAAATGGATTGGCGAGGTCAAGAAGGTGGATGGCGTTGACTACCAGTGTAAGCAATGTCCGCTCTTCGATTCATTGGAAGGGATGCTGATTTTTGAACTCTAGGCAAATGCTACTCTGACAACTCCTGCTGGCCGACCAACAAAGACTGGTCGAAGCTCAACCAGACCGTCTCTGGCGCACTACAGCTCGCCATTCCACCAGGCGCCGTTTGCTACACCAACTTCGGAAACGGAACTAGCGTCTACGATGCGGCGAAGTGTGCGGATACTCAAGCCAACTGGGCAAATGAGCAATGGCTGTATGAGCAACTTTCCCCGGGAAATACAGATGACGAAGCTAATGCAATGCTAGAACTGATCACCCCATCGCCGAGCTCTGGCCGTTCAAAACCAACAACACCTGCATGCCGACGGACGACCCATCGGGTAGTTGCACACAAGGCATGTACGGCAAGTACGTCATTATGGCGACTACAAGAGAACAGATTAAGGCGGGTGTGGACTTTGCACGAGAGCGCAACCTTCGTTTGATCATTCGTAATACTGGTCACGACTTCATGTAAGACAATTTCTTATCTCTTGAAGCACGACGGAACTGACAGAAGTACAGGGGCCGTTCGACCGGATACGGTTCACTCATCATCAACACCCACAGCTTCAGAGACGTCAAGTTCCTGAAGAAGTACACTGGACCTGGTGACTGGAAGGGCACTGCAGCTATTGTCGGCGCTGGTGTCCAGGGCCGCGAGCTATTCCGACAGTGCTTCAACCAGAGTCCCAAGGTAGTCATCGTTGGAGGAGAGTGCCCAACCGTCGGCTGGGGCGGCGGCTACATCCAAGGAGGCGGCCACGGCCCATTAACCGGCATCTACGGCATGGGCGCCGACAACGTCCTCTCTTTCGACGCCATCACCGCCGAGGGCAAATACGTAACCGCCAATGCGAAAGAAAACTCCGACCTCTTCTGGGCTCTCAAGGGCGGCGGCCCCAGCTCCTTCGCCGTCGTCGTCGCCATCACCGTCAAGACCTTCCCTGAGGTCCCCACCGCCGGCACTATCCTCAACATCAACTCAACGCACACCAACGACACCGAGCTGTTTGCCAAGGGCGTCCACATCTTCCACAACCTAGCCAACCACTACAGTTCGCACGGCATGTTCGTCTACTTCGAAGTAGGACCCGGCCCCCAACGCCTCCACATCGCGCCCTTCGTCGGCCCCAAGATGAACAAAGAACAGCTCGAGGCAGTCATGGCACCCTTGTACTCCCAACTTGACGCCGCCGGCGTCCCCTACGACACCCACACCAAAGCCTTCCCCACATTCTTCGAATTCTACATCGACATGTTCGAAGACGAGCCCCCGAACCAACAATCCATCGTCGGCGGCCGCCTCTTCACTCAATCCGATATCACGGCCCACGGCGACGAAATCGCAGATGCGCTCATCTACGCCGCGATGCCTGAACCCACGCAGCTCGGCTTCAACGTCGGGCATATTGTTAACCCCGGTCGTGCCTATCCTGTCGTCGACAACGCTATTCATCCCACCTGGCGCAACGCCAGCTCCTTTGTGATCACGAATGTGCTTATGACGGGGACGGAGCCGTGGGAGGTTAAGAAGGAGAGGGAGAGTTTCAATACGAATGTCCTTGGGAAGAGGCTGAGGGATGTGAGTCCTAATGGGGCGAGTTATGTGAACGAGGGGGATTTGAATGAGCCTAACTGGCAAGAAGCGTACTGGGGCAGTAACTATAAGAGGTTGTTGCAGATTAGGCGGAAGTGGGATCCGGAGGGTGTGTTTTTTACGGAGACGACGCCGGGGACGGAGAATTGGAGTGTGCTGGATTATGGGACGAAGCTTTGTAGAAAGTCGTCTAAGTAGACGCGTGTGTTGCTTCTTTTGTAGATATATCTCATTCTATACAAAAACGTTCAGCGACTGTGTTGTCATCATGTGTCTATTGTGAGCCTTGTCATCGATCTGTTGTCGGCTTACAGCTGTATATGTTGAAATAGTACTATGCGACAATGCGCAACTCTGCCTGTGGTGTTGCAGGCGTTAACAAGCTGATCAACAAGAACGTGGCCATTGCGTCTTGCAAGCGTTGTGTGAGAGGCCCTTGAAACCGCCCATCATAAACCGGAAGATGAGAGGTGACACATTAAGATCTACCCAGGCAATGCCTGTCATATAGTAGTGCTTATGAATGATCGCCTTCGGTCGCTTTTACCTGCCGGCAGTGCGCGTACCGTGTGGCCACATCTCAGCCACAGCAGTGGCGCAAGGGCAGCGACGACGCGCTCTCAGATAGGAGGGAGAACATCCGCATAACTTGAGATGCGTCAAAAGCGCGTTTCGGAGTCTCTTACGCGTCCAACAGTGTTTCCTTACCGTTTGGTGCCAACGTGGCGTGGTGAGACAAAGCTGGGGAAGGGCGGGAGCGATGACGAAAGAGTCGCGTCGAGCGCTAGCCGCTCCCAGCTAGCAGCAATCACCATCACAAGCCAATGGCTCTGGCGACGCTGCTATCAGCCATCATCCCAATTGTTTGCGAACCTTCTGCTATCACCCGCCTGTCTGTGTGCCAGCCGATCCGCTCGCATCACTTCCGCTCCTTGCGCAACCGCCGTAAACATCCCCACCGCTGCGCCAACGCCGTCGCCATCCATCGCATTCCGAACCATCGCACCAGGCTCCTATTCACGACTACAACGCCTCCGACGCCTACACCTGATCGCGC